GAAACTTAACCAACAGAAACTAAAGAGTGAAACTTGACCAACAGAAACTAAAGAGTGAAACTTGACCAACAGGAACTAAAGAGTGAAACTTGACCAACAGGAACTAAAGGGTGGAACGTGCCCAACAGAAACTAAAGAGTGGGACTTGACCAACAGGAACTAAAGAGTGGGACCTGACCAACAGGAACTAAAGTGTTAGTTTATATACATATATGTATACAAATTCACTTTGTAACCCATAATAAGTTTCCTTCCAACACATAGACCACAAAAAAATGTGAAGATTAAGAAGACGTTTATATATACCTCAGTCTTCTAGCTGCACCTATCCACTTTGTCCTAAATCTTCTTACATGTATCAACGAACTGGAAGTATGAATAAGGACTTATTATAATTAGTTACCAAAGTCAGCTTTAACAAGTAGATTAAAACATAACAACGAAGCTGGAAACACATTAAACAAACAACAGATGTGAGACCAAAAAACTCCTGTTTAATGGTTTTATATATGTGTGTTAAAGATTTAGTGTCTTTTTCTCAAGACGTGAAACAAAAAAAGATAATATGTGATATAAAGGCCTAATGATTGGCCATACCCAATGTCATAACATTGTTCACATACCCAAGTCAGTTTAGGTTACTGTATGGTAAAATAAAAAGTTATCAAAACCCCATAGAAACAAACCCCTCTATCAGAACTGATGTAAAACCAAACAAACCCATGTTTCTCTATCAGAACAGATATAAAACCAAACAAACCCATGTTGCTCTATCAGAACAGATATAAAACCAAACAAACCCATGTTTCTCTATCAGAACAGATGCAAAACCCAACAAACCCATGTTTCTCTATCAGAACAGATATAAAACCAAACAAACTCCTGTTGTTCTATCAGAACAGGTGTAAAACCAAACAAACCCATGTTTCTCTATCAGAACAGATGTAAAACCAAACAAACCCATGTTGCTCTATCAAAACAGATGTAAAACCAAACAAACTCTTGTTGCTCTATCAGAACAGATGTAAAACCAAACAAACCCCTGTTGTTCTATCAGAACAGATGTAAAACTAAACAAACCCATGTTTGGGTTTGTTTGGTTTTACATCTGTTCTGATAGAGTGTTGTTCTACCAGAACAGATGTAAAACCAAACAAACCCCTGTTGTTCTACCAGAACAGATGTAAAACCAAACAAACTCCTGTTTCTCTATCAGAACAGATGTAAAACCAAACAAACCCCTGTTGTTCTATCAGAACAGATATAAAACCAAACAAACCCATGTTGTTCTACCAGAACAGATGTAAAACCAAACAAACCCTTGTTGTTCTATCAGAACAGATATAAAACCAAACAAACCCATGTTGTTCTACCAGAACAGATATAAAACCAAACAAACCCCTGTTGTTCTATCAGAACAGATATAAAACCAAACAAACCCCTGTTTCTCTATCAGAACAGATGTAAAACCAAACAAACCCCTGTTGTTCTACCAGAATGTTACACAATATTTCGAATCAATAATAGTATCAAATAGAAGCGATAATGGGATGTTTGTTTACGATATACGGGATTTGTCCCACCCCCACCCCCTTCCTCAGAAATGTGATTGGGTGAAGTCGCCGGTGAGAACTAGATATAACGGTAATGTGGAGTGTTTTAGTTTAATATTCTAAAACAACCTCAACGTACCATTATTAGCTAGCGTGATACCTGTATATTGTTTTTATAAAATAAAAGTTACAACACTATAATTGGATTAGTAACACCACAACAATCAATAAAATGCTTCACAACATAGTGCGACTGGCCACAAACAGCTGACTGGTCTGTTATCAGGACATTTTTCTGTGTAGTACTATCTAACACGTGATCCTCTGGTTTTTTCGACACTGACCATAAATGACAATAATCTTTTAAGTTCCTTGTTTTCTTTTGACAGTCGCTTCATGACGTCTAATTACGCCTAGCCGTTACTCTGACGTCACGTCCAATGATTACTTTCTTTTTTCAACGACCAATCAGAGAACAAAGAAATCAAATGCAGTGGATGGCGAGTTAACGAAAGTCTTGAGCCGATAATAAGTCGTGTGTTACGTCGAATGTGTGTTGTGTAGGTTAGTGTTACACGTGAAGATGGTTATCAAGGTAAGCTTCTGTTTTTCAGTTTCCGTAACAATAGTCTATGTTTGTAGTTCTTAAACTAAGCCTACACAGATTGCTGTAATACTACAAAACTACTGTTGGATATTAATGTATTAAGATGTTGTGTGTTTCAGGTTATTTAAAATAAAGATATATTACCCCTGACAATCGTCTTACTTACTTCAATAACTGAGGACTACCTTCTCAAAGTGTAGTTCCTAGACTAACCTCTAGGCTGATTGCTCCAGGTTGTTTGTAGTTACTGCTATATAAGCCAGAAACTATAGACTCCGAATTGAAAAGTTTTACCATGACAACTGATTTTGAGTAGTAGTTGGATGGTTGTAAGCTCGAGACTGACCGACGTCATGCTGTTGTATCCTCACGTATTCCAGTCTATAAAGATGGGTAACTAACTGTCAGCTGGGGCTCCGGCGGACTGTCATCCCGTCCAGGGGGGGAGGACTGGCTCATTGTTCTCTTCCGCTTGTGCCATTGGAACCAGAGTTTTCAAAGCACCGGCTTTATGGGCCTGCTAAGGTTTATCTTTTAGTTATATTTATGATTACCTACATAAGTTAAGAAGAACTCCAACCTTCTTCCTTCCTAATGAAACATGGTGTGGATATCATTTCTGTTACATTTTGTTTTTATGTCTCTACTTAGAGACATTTGAACTGAAGCGTTTCTGTTTTCAAATTTCGCTCAAAACTACGCGAGAGCTATCTGCGCTAGTCGTACCTGATTTAGCAGTGATAGACTAGAAGGAAGGCAGCTAGTGAACACCACCCAACGCCAACTCTTGGGCTACTCTTTTACCAACGAATAATGGGATTAACCGTCACATTATAACGCCCCCTCGGCTGAAAGGGCTAGTATATTCAATGACGGGGATTCGAACTCGCAGATTGCGAGTCGAGCGCCCTCTAGCCACTAGGCCATGACATTTACTGCGCGATTTAACAAACGTAAGCTTCTCACATGAATTCGAGTGCTGATGAATTGGAATTCAATTTTGTTTACGTTTATTCGTTGCTAAAGTTTTGTAATCTTTGAATAATACGTAATCTCACATCATGGACTCAATATCAACTTCCGATCAGAGAAAGCTATGCACTTAGATCGAAAATCAACCTGACCATCAGTACAGCTAATTAAGTATACGTCTCTTATGTTTCAACTTATAAAGATTAGAATTCATTGTTTCATTGGTTTGGTATTGTCCCTGTGAACGAGATTTTCGGCCATAATCCCAATAACACCTCACATTTTCGACCAGCTTAGGAAATTGAGGCTAGTCCTAAATACAAATATTAAGCTAACGTTTCGTTATTCTTATCCTTAAACAGAGCAACTCTCCTACCGGCTATGTTTTACAAAGACCATGGACCCCCACCAAACGACGTGGACCAATCGCAGCGGAACATATAGGTCCTGGCCCCGCCTATATTTCCTTGCCCTCAACATTTGGTAAGAAATGTTTCAGATTGTTTACCAATTGCATTAAACAAAGATGTGTTTCTCGAGGAAAGAAAACATTTTGTGCTTACATTTCATTGTTTATAAATGTGGGAGTTGATACCACGTAATAGAAGTTTTATCTTATTGTTAGACAAGTTAAGCCTACATTTGTAACACCTTTATTATGTGACTGGCAGATGACAAATTTTCATACACACACAGAGTCGTCATTGTGACGTTATAAATACTTTAACAAACTCGTGTTATAAAGTAAACTTACATAATATCAATTGTAAGTAAAACAGCTGGCGAAGCGCCAAGAACTATTTATATATCTTTGTGTTTTAAAGATATTAAAAAAATAAATGCGAAGCCTAATTTATCATTCGAATTACCACTTGTCATTTAGTTATCTGGTTTAGGGAATTTTTTTCTCCTCGTCAGTAACCTTGTACAAGGGCCAATCGAAAGAACAAGACTAGGCTTCATATAGTGGCTGAGTGTATATTATATGTATGGTGTTTTGAAATGTATTTTACTCACATAGTATACCTATATAAACATAGCATTTTTCTGGGACATTTAAAAACGTCTTACATATTAAACTGACAGTTTAAGTAAAGTAGCTTATTTAGATGTTGAATTTTCTGTGAGCTGCAGCTCTCTGGAAACTTCATCAGACCTGATAAATGACTCGGCATTGACTGCAACAGCATAGATAATTCATCAGACCTGATAAACGCCTCAATATTTACTGCAGCTGCATAGGTAATTCATCAGACCTTATTATTGACTGTAGCTACATAAATAAGTCATCAGGCCTCATAAAAGCTCCAGCATTGGCTGTACTGCCTGGAGAAAAGCCTCAGTATTGACTGCAGCTACATGGAGAATTCATCAGACCTGATAAAGGTCTAAGAGTGCATTGCAGCTGCCTGATAATGGTCACGCCACGAGCTGTAGCTGCCTAGAGTCTAGAACTGGATGGCGTTTAGGTGTCTGTAGAACAACGACTCCAAATGGAGAGGTTCAATAAAATATTCATAACGTGTTGCTCCAAACCATGACGAATAAAATGTTTGGTGGCGCTTCTTGACAACCTCTTAAGATCACTGTGCTAATGTCAAGGTCGTCATACGTTTGTTGATAATATATTTCATTCATTACCCTTCAAAGTTTCCGTTTCAATGTTTTTTCAAAGATTGAAAGTAATTTGAAGGTCCAGTTCATTTTTAAGGTCAAAAGGCCATGTCACGGCCACATTTCAGAAGGAATCTAAACAGATGACGTTTCGAGCATGCGAAATTTCAGTTTTTTATTACCAGTACAAAAGAAAAATATTTTTTATAAATTTAGTTTGCTTTTTACCCTAATATATTGTGCTTCATTTGTACTTGCCCCTGGTGAGACAGCGGTAAGTTTGCAGATTTAAAATGTTAAAATATAGGGGTTCGATTCCCCTCGGTGAACAAAGCGAATAGCCCAATGTGGCTTTGCTCTGAAACAAATAATCGTTTGTTTTATGGTTACTAATGGTATCATTTTGATGTACTTTTATAATGAAGAGTCATTAGTTACTTTTCATTACCAATACTGTAAAAAAAAAATCAACTTTGTTGTTAGTTCATAGGGGTTTCATCTGCAGTACTTGTTAAGGTGCACAGTTAATCCTAGAATTACCAAGTCGGTTTTAGTAATTCCAATGAACCCAGTACCTAATTAATACGATAAAACAATGAAACAAAAAGTAAAATAAGCATAATTATCAATAAATTTAATATTTTATTCATTATTAAATTTCTTTCGCCATTATATTTATTTGTCTAAACTGGACCTATTGGACTCATTTAATTGCTCCGGGATTAAACAATTTAACCCTAAGACTAGACGTCCGCAGGTGGGACAGAGGTAAGTCTACGTACTTACAACGCTAATATCCGGGATTTGATTCCCGTGGTGGACACAACATATAGCTCAATGTAGCTTTGCTTTAAAACAAAGAAACTTAAACTACATTTTACTTTAAATACCAATGACCACCACTGAGTCTACATACTGCATCATATTGAGTAATTTCACTCAAGTCCTCCTGGTGGTACAAAGGTAAGTTAATGTAATAACAATGCTAAACTCTGGTGTTTGACTACCCCTGTGGACAGATCGCAGATCGCCCATTTTGTAGCTTTGCGATAAAACAACGACAACAACGTGTTATATTACACTGAAAATATATATCAGAAAAAAGAATACGTAAGAGATTGCAGCAGTCATCAGTGGGACTGAGTGTAATATTGATGTTGTTTTTGTTTAATCTTTTTGTGTAAGTCATTTGTTTTTATAAGGTCATTTGTTTCTATAATGAATACATAGTTCTGAAAGAGGAGTGTTTAAAAATTGGTAATTCTAGGGTTTATAAGCCAAAATAAACGAACTACTCAATTATTTCCTTATTCGGGTATTTTTATTGGTTTGTTGTGTTTATTAAAATAAACGCTTATAATAAAATAATAATATTTCCTATTTCTTTGTAGTAATTTTTGCAGCAAGGAGGCGGCGCTAGGATCGAATTTAAACTTTTTTAAACGTTATGGTTTTCAATGCTAAAAACTGACGTAGTATTCGAAACAAATAGTCCTACAATTTGTGATAAAAAGTCAGATAAACTACAAAACGCTCGTAAAGTTCCACCACCTGTGGCAAGCCAAAAAATGAGGGAAGAACCATCGTTAAATTTTATGTTATGGATATATTTAAATAATAATAAACATTAACTGCAGACTGGTTAATTATAACTGTTTAATGAAGTTGGTAAAAAATGTTGTTTAACCTCTAGATGTTGCCTAGGCCTAGAATTTAGAAAATAGTAGACAGGAATATTTGTTTCTAATCCTACATTTTGTTTATGTTATTTTACAAGGCACACATTTTGTGTTTTATCGCAACTTTTTGTTTATGGCTGTACCAGCGTGTTTTAGCTGATCGTCTGTCACACCCTTCCCTACCCAACTCAAGGTTGAGGTTGCTGAGTCATCAAAGTATAACTTAGGTTTAAGCTTGTTGCATCCATATACGGGTTACACCTAATATGTGACGTATATAACGGGTGGACTGGGTCAACCACAACTGTACATGGAAGGCACTTATCATGTGGATGAGTTAGAATTAAAGAAAAATTAAACCATACATGTCAAAACCTTGTATGACTGGCTAGTATGAAACTGTATGATTTCAAAACATTCACCATACGTGTAGGCCTTATCTATGACTAACATTTCTGTGTGAAATGTTGTAATATGCATATTCAATATATGGCTATAACTGTTTTGTTATTGGATATATATATATATATATAAGTGTTTTGTTATTGGATATATATATATGTGTGTTTTGTTATTGGATATATATATATAAGTGTTTGTTATTGGATATATATATATAAGTGTTTTGTTATTGGATATATATATATAAATGTTTTGTTATTGGATATATATATATAAGTGCTTTGTTATTGGTTATACATATATATATAAGTGTTTTGTTATTGGATATATATATATGTGTGTTTTGTTATTGGATATATATATATAAGTGTTTTGTTATTGGATATATATATATAAAT